TTCACTAGAACGCCAGTACGGACTCGTGTCCTCACCATGTATGTTCTTGAGAAGAACACAGAAATGTGTGGACCCTGGGAACGTGAGAACGCAGAATAAATCTGGGTCAATTGGAACTCGTGACGTCACCACATTCAAAGCTCATCTGGAGCTGTTTTTCACCTCCTATACTGCAAAAACGGTCTAAAAATGAGTAAAAAATGTCTTAAATTAAGTGTATTTACCCTTAATTTGAGTAGGTAAATGAGATATTTAGATAATATGCACTTGAAATAAGACAATACAATAGTGTTTTCTAATTTTAAGTGTAAATTGTCTTGTTCCATTGGCAAACTGTCTCCTTTACCTCCTCAATCCCAGAACAAATGCACTAATTTTAAGAAAAAATTACTTATCTAGATTTGGATTTTTTAATTCTTACTTTTTTCATTTAATGGGAGAATAATAATTAACATAGTCAGATAAACACAACACAGAGACAAACAGGACAAACAACCATTCACACACACTATTTTGCCAAATAGAACCAAAAGAAAATTATCGGCATCATAGCCAGCGGTCCTTTACACATGGCTATGCAGAGAGAGGACTGCTATAGACGGGCTAATGTTAGCCCTGGCTGCAGTTATCCTCGGAGCTCCGCTGGTTGCCACGGTCCCCTTAACATCCATCCATTTATATAGGTCTCCAGTCTATCGCAGGGCAACACAGAGACAGACAACCATTTACACTCACACATAAGGAGAATTTAGAGAAGCCAATTAACCTGACAGTCATGTTTTTGGGAGGAAGCTGGAGTACCCGGAGAGAACCCACGCATGCTCAGGGAGCATGTAAATGGGCCATATAGTGATGGTTAAAAGTATAATATTCTCGCCCCAAGTGATTGTAAAATGTGCCTTTATGGAACAATTATTGAGACAGAAAAGAGAACTTTTAACTTAATACTCTGAGCTCTGTGAGCGCTCCATTGGATGCTGCTGCTGCATGCTGGGTAAAGAGGGAGAAGCGAGAACAACATCCGCACTGCAAAAAATGTAAATCTCAATGAGTAATTTTTTCTTAAAATAAGTGCATTTTTTTCTTGAATTAATGAGGTAAGTGTAACACTTTGCCAATGGAACAAGACAATTTACATTTAAAACAATAAAAAACGATTACATTGTCTTATTTCAAGTGCATTGTAAGAGTAAAAATACAAATTTCATTGGCAAATCATCTTATTTTCCTGCTCAAATTAAGAGTTAATGTACTTAATTTAAGACTTTTTTACTCATTTTTAGATTGTTTTTGCAGTGCGGGGGCTTTGTCCGTTCTTGGTCTTCTTGTTCTTGTGAATTGGAACAGTACTAGGGCTGAGGATGATGACATTTTTCGAGATGGCGAGCAAATGAGGAAGCACAAGTAAACAGACTGAGAAAGGTCCCTAGTGTAGCCCAAATACTCCTTCATAGAGGCAGATACACAAACCTACTAAAGAAAAACCTAAATTTAATGCATCATAAATCCATTGAAGATCATGATTGAGTTCATGAAGAATAATGGTAGTATTATGGTGTGAGATTCAAATTTGCCAGATAATTGTTTATATATCATGAACATTTAATAGCTGGAGGGCAAATGAAAAACTGTTAGCATGTTGCTACAGCTAGCTCTGAGTGTTTATCAGAAGACACACAATTATATTGTGATTTCAGTTGATCAGGTAATAAAATCCACCAAAAGACTTCCATCTGTCTTCAGCGAGGTGTTTTAAATGAAACAGCTGAGCCTTCATCCTCTTGTTCCAGCTCCCATTCCTTCTTCAGCTGTGGACCCAGTGAAAAAGGCGGGAAAGAGAAAGGAATGTTTGACGGGCTGCTGGACGGACGACGTCCAGACAGCACCGGTCCCGGAGAAATGCCCCCCCTCAGTGTAATCTGCCACCCTATGCAGGTATTTTTACTGCTGTGATCCTCTTAACTCAGACATTAGTTGTTGTTTTTAACCAGTTTGGCTGAAGTGCTGCTGGTTGTCTTTGACCCCAGCAGGTCCAGCGGTTCAGTGGCAGCCACACCCGGCAGCCCAAACGGACTCTGTTTGTGTGCCGGCACGGTGAGCGGATGGACGTGGTGTTCGGGAAACACTGGCTCACTCTCTGCTCCGACAGTAAAGGTGAAACCTGAAACTCTGCGAGGTCTTAAACCGGAACTCAACAATCTTTAAAGTCGTAGAGAAACAATATTTAAATGTCAAATCATTCTGCCTTAAACATGTATATAAATATACTCTATATCTGATGATATTGTCCCAAAAGTTAGAAAATTTATATTTGAAAAAATAATCCTGTCTTAAAATCTGTAGGGTTTTTTTTTCGTTATTTTAATCAGTTAGTCATCTTATATAATATATATATAATATTTATAAATTCGGCCAATCATATATCAACGGTCATCTGTCAATCACATTTTTTCGCTCATAGCATCTTGATTCATATGTCGCAGCTAATATACGCAACAGAACTGGCAGCGTTGCGAGGCAAGGGTTTAAACATGTACGGCTGGAAGCCTTCTACACCAAACCAAG